TCTGGTTCCTGGAGCGATACGCGGATCCTCTGGATCCTCCAGACTCTCTGGACTCTCCGGATCCTCTGGATCCTCTGGAGCTACATCCTTCCTCACCCCCCCCTCCTCCGGGTCTCGTGCGCATGTCCTCCTCCTCGTGCTCAGCTTCCTCTCTCGCTGCTTCTGCTCCTCCTGTTTTCAGTCTCCTCTCTGTGTTTCCCTCCAGACCCAAAAACAGAGCGAAGACCTTCAATAGTTGCTCATTTTCACATCTATCAAATGACAGAACGGCACAAAATGTGAAGATTTGATGACTTTAAACTGTTTTCCCCTTTAAAACCCCTAAAAACTCAAAAAATCTCCTGAAAACCCATAAAAACCTATCGAAACTGATACAAATCCATATAAACCGCCCAAAACTCCTAAAAAAAACTCCTAAAAACCTCCAAAAACTCCTAAAAAAACTCCTATAAACTCCCCAAAAAACTCTTAACATCTCCTAAAAATTCACAAAAAACCCTAAAAACCCCCAAAGACTCCCAAAAACCCGTCAAAGCTCCTAAACCCCCCATAAGAACTGCTTTTGTCAGAATTTGTCCCTTTTTAAAAATCTTTAGCTCCACATTTAGCTGGTTTTGTGTTCATTCTTGCAGTTTCAGGTAAATTTCTGGTCACTATCTGTGCTTATTTCTGCTGTTTTGTGTCTTCTTTTGTCATTTTGTGTTCAGTTTTTCCCTTTTTCTCCACATTTTGGTACTTTTTTTAGTCCCTTCCTGCAGCTTTGCTTCTCCTTTTGTCATTTCTTAACCCTCCTGTTATGTTGCGGGTCAAATTGACCCGTTTTAAAGTTTGAAGATCTGGGAAAAATGGAGAACTTTAGCTAACAGCAGCTTTTAGCTGGAGTTGTTTCAGTTCTCTGAACTCTGAGAGGCTTCAGAGGAGTTTATTTTAGCAGTTTTGTGTTTTATTTGGTCATTTTGTGATCGTTTGTCCCTCTTTTTTGGCTTTAACTCCACATTTTGTTGATTTTGTGTTCATTGTTGCAGTTTAGAGTCGGTTTCTGGTCATTATCTGTGCTTATTTCTGCTGTTTTGTGTCTTCTTTCGTCATTTTGTGTTCAGTTTTTCCCTTTTTCTCCACATTTTGGTACTTTTTTTAGTCCCTTCCTGCAGCTTTGCTTCTCCTTTTGTCATTTCTTAACCCTCCTGTTATGTTGCGGGTCAAATTGACCCGTTTTAAAGTTTGAAGATCTG